TTTTTATCATTGGTCGTTTTAGTCACTTGCGTACAATTTATCATTTAATAAATTCTTCACGCGACATACTATTTTTATCGAATTGATTAACAAATTGTACTTTTTTTAACATGGAAGTTTTAATCGCATAAGAAGCACAACACAAACAAGAGACGCGTAATGCGTGAAGAAGAATGTTAGAACCCAGCGAGATTAAAGATAACGTAATTAAGTAATGCGTTTCACACATGCGCGCGCGCGAACACACACACGCGCACATTATTAAAAATTGATCAATTATACTTTTAATTTGTATATACGCGCGGAGATATTAATAAACATTTGGAAACTCCGTTTAAAAAACCACAATTAATTTTCGTAGACGTTAATCGTCGTCAAGCACCTTCGATAAAATCATCGCGCACTCTATGAGAGGATTAATAGCTTCCGCCTCTTACTTCATCGTAAGCAGGTCGTTTATAAACGCAACCGAAAAATGCTAATTGTCCGCAGGTAATTATTCGCGTCACGTGAAACGCAAAAGCGAAAGCGTAACACCTTTAATGTCCATGGCGCGCAGGACGATACTCTACGCGGCTCGCCCGTTAAAACAACACTGGTGTGTAACTTCTTGTTACTTTCTGTCCCGTACAACACACAGGTGTATATAGAAGCAAGAATAGAGTGCACACGTGAGACCGGCGCAAGCGTGCTGACGAGTGTCCCTTGCACTATACGGAACTATACCTTCATTTATTCGCTGCGAAATTATTTATCAGCTTTCGCATTAAATCGGGCGGGATTCATACGACGGTTAATTTTTAATGGAAAATAGGAACGAGGGAAAAAATGCTCAAGGAAGATGTATGCTTATAATTAGCGTTGGATCGTATATACATAGAAGCACATTCATGCGAGGGTTTTCATTCTTTACCGAGAGAAAGAAAGAAACTAATTCTTTTTTTTTCGTTAATCAGCAGGCAACAACTCCTCTCTTACTGGACTCGCTAAATTACTAGTCTACGATTAAACTTCGTCATTTTCTCTCGGCCCGCTCTTTGATGTTCCAGGCTAGAGAGGCGTTCTTTGAACGACGAAGTATTCCACGCAATTCTGATATGGTCCTGTTTACGAATTTGTAAAATTTCTAATGTTGTATACTATAATTTTATGGTGAGACAAATGAAAATCCGTTTCCACCTTTCAATTAAACAAAGAACCAATACGTTGACGTTGAACCGTGATCAATTATCATCTCGTAAAATGTTATCAAATAATAGCTTGTACTGTCAATAGAGGAGTCTCCTGTTATGAGATAGGATCCTAATATGCACGGAGAATTTTTTTCTAAAAATTTAAAGAATGTAATCGCGGGACAACATGGCACTTCCGAGGATTTTATGAGGGTTTTTTGAAATTTCACCATACATTCTACTAGTAAAATGTATACTAGGTAAAATGAGGGCCTGAGCAGAATGGCCGTCTTATATTTTTAAGTCACAAAACAGGTATTGTGCGTTACTTTAAGACAACGATGTAAAACATAAAACATTGTCGCAAGAGTACAAGACAGCCATTCTGCTCAGGCCCTTACTAGTGAAATGTATGGTAAAATTTAAAAAAAAAACTCTCGTAAAGGTCTTCGAAGTGCCATGGTTGTTCCACGATTACATGATTTTCGGGGTAAATTTTAAGAGAAAATTCTCTCCGTGTGAGACAGAGGGATTTTTGTTAAACTAATAGGCATCATCGGTTGATTCCACCGTGAATTTATTGCGCTTGGAGCGAAATCTGTTTAGTGGAAAATTTATTGTTAGATCGTGTAGTCGTTGCGAAAAAAAGATTGAATTTAGCAGTTGAAAACCTGCTGTCTCGTATTAAAAACCTATAATAGAAGACTTTTCTTTATTCTAGTCATTAAGAAAAGATTTATTCATTTTATAAGAATTCCGTGGAGTTCTAGACTTTGTTATCGGAAGACTTGTTGAGAATGGAAAGCACTCTTAGAAATGTTTTCCGTTCGTATCGATCCGTATCCAATTTTCACGACGATTTCGACAAAATGGGACTCAAAATAGTACGCGATTCTTCAGATCTAAAGATTAGTCTATTTATAAACGGTCTATCCAGCAATTCCTGTATTAATGTATTAAAAAATACCCTTGAAGTGAGATTTATACGTGGGTTTGAAAGTTCTCGGAATGAAATTATAAATGGCCATCGGACACAGACGTCATACGTTGAGTGGAAATTTTCAACCCTTCTATAAACATGTAAAGCTTCAATTCGTTCCATCAAATAGATTCCTTTTTTCTTTCTTTTTACGGATCTTCGAACGAACGTGTCTGCGTGATTTTCGAAAAGTGAATAAAACTTAAGTATCCATGAATTAAGGTTTGTTGTCGCATTCTCCGTATTCGTCTGACTTACAATTAGCTCTGTCGGACTTTCACCTATTCTCACGGTTGAAGAAATATCTCGCTGGGAAGAGGTGTTCATCGAGCGAAGAAGTGAAAGAGACAGTTGGCGGATATTTTGCATCATTAGACAAATCGGAGTTTCGTAATGGGAGGCTGACCTTGGAGCTCGCAGGTGGCTCGAGTGCATTGGTTTAAAGGGGGATACGTTGAAAAATAAAAATGATTATAAGAGGATATAAATTGTTTTTTCATTTCATTTCAAGAACTTTTCAAATGGCCGCCATACACATGTGTACAGACGGCTCCGATACGTTGAATAAGTTGAATTAGATGCCAAATACGAGTTCCTCTGGCCTTCTCCTTTTTGTACTTGCACACAGTAACAAGATGTGGATTTAGCTACAATTTTAATAATCACACGGTTGTTTGAGATAATACATTTTTTAGTTAGTAAAATTAATTTTTCAGTTTGAACTAAGAATTTGCGCCTTTCTAAACAGTTTAAAGGAAAAAAAATTGGCAATTAGTTGAAAAATAAAAATGATTATAAGAGGATATAAATTGTTTTTTCATTTCATTTCAAGAACTTTTCAAATGGCCGCCATACACATGTGTACAGACGGCTCCGATACGTTGAATAAGTTGAATTAGATGCCAAATACGAGTTCCTCTGGCCTTCTCCTTTTTGTACTTGCACACAGTAACAAGATGTGGATTTAGCTACAATTTTAATAATCACACGGTTGTTTGAGATAATACATTTTTTAGTTAGTAAAATTAATTTTTCAGTTTGAACTAAGAATTTGCGCCTTTCTAAACAGTTTAAAGGAAAAAAAATTGGCAATTAGTCGTTTAAAAATCAGTCACCTTTTTCTGTAGAACACAAACGTAACATGTGATTTCGAAATTGCAATCAGTTTGAGAAATTCCTAAAAAATTCATTCTGTAAAAGTCGAGAAACGTTATCGCATTACTTAATTCCTAAATCTTCGGAGAAGTTATGATCCCGTGAGAAAATATTTGGATAAAACTTTCACAGAAATTATACATTTAAGAAGTCATTAAAGCGTGATAAACGAACCACAGACTGACGGGTCTCCGAGATTCTTTATCCTAAATCATTTACAAGAATAAATTAACGACCAACAAGCTGATACAATATAAGAAGTTAGTTAAAATTATTAGCTCGCAAGCTGACCGTTAATTTATTCTTCTAACTTTGCTACAACCAGTGCTTTCCTTTCTTAAATTTAAATCATCTGGCAGTCGCGAGGCGTCTTTCAAAACACAATCTCGAAATTCTCATTAATTACAAAATTTAATATCTCTAAAAGCACGTCGCGATTACGGCATTAAAACTTTATTCGGCGAAAAAGAAAGACAAAAATATTCGTTTATTCGAGAAGACTATCCGTGTCTACGCATAAAAAAAAATTGTACGACCGGAAATAATTAACTTAATTGAAATTCCTTTCTACTGAGACCGTGGCTCGAGGTTCAACGGGCTCGATCCGCGATCGGAAATCGCGGTTTCGGTCATCGCCGCAATCGCGCTCGCGATCGAGAAACTCGGAAATTTCGCCTCGACGCGGTGCAACACGTCGAAACGATCGGGATCGGCGCACGCGACCACTCCGCCAGGCGGAAAGGAGAAATTACCCCGGAGATATTTTTAGAAAAACGAAGGTGGCACGCTAGTGCTCGAATGTAGGTCGACATATAACGCAGGTCGTTCCGGCGTTTTATTGATTTCCCGCGAACCCAATTCCGACGTGCACACACGCCGTCGCCGATCTGCCGCGGTGCGTACGAGGCGCGCACGACGCGCGTAAAAGATCACGGCACGAGAGAGAGAGAAGATCTGCGTGACACCCGTCCCTTGGCCCTTCTCCGCCCAACCGGCCCTGAGGTGGCCCTTCGGGCCGCGTAGAACCCGTCCAATCCGGAGAAAAACCTTCTACATATGCCACTTCTCTCTCTCTCTCCCTCTAAAACCGATCTTCTCTTTAATATCTACTCGTTATTAAATAGATAACGGTTGTCTCAAGCCGAGAAAATTTTATACGCTCGACGATATCGAACGATAAAATCTCGCGATATTTCTTTTCAAAAGTTACGACGATAGCTCGCCATAAGTTGTCTGTAACGAAGCTTTATGTTTCTTTATAGTTCTAGCCACATCTGATGTTATCTCTTGGGCTATTACCGTCTAATACAACGAGGAACATACCTATGTACATGCAAACAGGACAGGCTGCAAACGTGTCATCAATAGTTAAAAAAAAACTGAATAGCGCACGAACTTTGAAATAATATAATGAAACGTAAAATCTTGCCGCTTTTAACGATCGTTCTTCGGCAAAAAGCAGACAAGTGTGATCGCAGCGGACGTATCTTGCGGGGGAAAAAATGAAACGGGGGAAAAAAAAGTGTACATTTAAGTAATGTTCACGCCTCCGGCATCGCTAATTTACAGCGGGGACGCTTAAATAATCTTTCAAGAAATCAACATTGGCTAGGTAACACATAGAACCACATCGAGAAGAAAGTTCAGCTTTATATGCGCCATGCATGATACGATCAGCTTTAACAGGAGCTTACGTCGTATTCCCCAATCCATCATGACGACTGGCTTATTTAATTAAATCTCGTGGTCCCTTCGTCGATTATTGCTGCTGCTAAATATTGGTCCCCTCTTTGTTCCCTTCTTTCGTTGCTCCGTTTCCCCGTGAAATACCTGAGAATCTCCGCTGGCCCCTCAAGCTCTGGTCAAGCGAATCTTATCAGTTAATTGTCGGCGGACGTCGGGACGTAAATAATCAAATCTCTGCGGCGTCAATTCTCGCCGCAGCGCCTTAGCTTAAAGCCGAGCTTAAAGCGAATTGACTCGAATTTATCCTCGATCTCTCTATTCCTATCGATGTTGCATTTGTGCCGACATGGTCCAAACTTAGATTACGGGCAAAAGCCAAGCCTGGCTCCTGTGCGTCCTATCGTTAATAACAGCTCGATTGAAGAAATTATGAGTCTGCTCGGTTGGTCGTGTTCTTAATTGAATCTCGATGTTATCATAATCGACATTATCGTAATCGGCGATACTTGAGGAAGATATCGATGCGTTCGTTCAGGTACGAGTTACGGTCGCGTTGATAGTCATGTAAACACGTCACGGCGACGGTCACCGATAGTCGCATTGAAACGTTGCCTCGGCTTCTCACAATGACACACCAACGCTAAACCGCGTGCCGATATTGGCCGTGGTGGATCGTCCGGTTCTCCAACAGATTGCGGGATATTTACAGGCCATAACTACAATACGGGTTGTGCGATTTATAAGAAAGTCGTAAATCGACGATAAAGAGTCTACTCAGGACGTCATGATAGGCGAACGGTACGTAGTAGTCGATCAATTGACAGTTTCTTCGTTGCTCGTGTCGCAAATCTGACATTCAGCTCTGCCGATGAACCCGAAACGAAGGCGAACGGAGTTGATTCACGTAGCGACGCAACATCCATAATCCGTGGTGATCCCGCGACAATTAGCGATCGGATTAAGTCGTCACTTAGGCGTCTCCTGGAGGCATCCTGCAATGGCCATGATAATCGCCACCGTTTGCCGGAGGTGTAAGCGATGACGGTGAGCCGAGATCGTTTCCGATCAGGCTGACTTCGAGGTGTCTTGCAATCAGGTGTCACGTGTCATTGGTCAAGGAGATACCTGCGCACCTCGCCAAGGTTCCGCGCGATTTGTACAATTCTTTTATGATGCCTCGGTAATGACAGACCAATCGAATTCCTTCGCACTAGCCCCGCTTCTGAGTTATGCATGTGATCGATAAGCCGGCCCGTCCTTCACGTGAATCACGAGACGATATCACGTTTTTCTGATGCCGTTAAATCTTTCATGCCTTCGTAATAAATCGAGCAAGTTCAATCACGCTGAGCTATGACTACCGGTGGCTTAATTAGTGGATCGTGACTCAGGACGGTCACTCGGGGCCCCCCCAGCGAAATCGCGGTTCACCGCGTAGGCGGATTCACTTTCGTCAGTTCACTCCTCTCCCTTCGATATGTCGAGGAGCTCGGGGTTCGACGACGCTGGTCATTAGCGCCTTACGTTCGCGTGCATAATCGTATTTGCTCCCTCAGTCACGTACGTAGTTATTTATTCCTACGCGCGGATTACGGCGCATTATCGCGATTGCGCGAGTGGGTGGTTCCACTTTCGCTACTGTGAAAAGTCTTTGATGCGTCGATGACGAGCTAATCGTGTTCGATGACGCCACGCCTTGGACGCCTCGCGTCGCATCATGTGCGTGTAATTGTAACGATTTCTTCTTCGCGCAATTACGGGGATGTTACAGCGCCGTGGGCGGATCCAATCTTGTCACTCCGGGTCTTCCTCCGCTGCGCCTCGGCGAAACAAGCCAATAGGATGGTTATTAATACGTTGCGTCGTATTTATACATGTTATGTTGCAAAGAATAACACGTCTGTTCGCTCAGTCGTCGCTACGAGACGGATCACCAAACGCGTGGGCGAGTACACTTTCGTCGCGTAAATCCGAGGACGGGAGAAACACCCGACATACAAACGTTTCTGAATGAACAAAATAATTAAGCGACTAATTAATGCACGGATTGCTGTACAGAGAAGGCAACGCGGCAACGCTAAATCCTCACATATTTCACTATATGCATATTCACATATTCAATATACGCTGGGACAGTTATTATTCCGATTTCAGGTGAGACCTAACGACTGGTCGATTCGTTGCACGAATTTTTTTTAGGCTCAAACGACTCAATTGCCGGACATCACGGGCAATTATTTCGCCGTGAATGACGATGTGGAAACGAGGGCAAAGACGACGACGAGGTGGCGACGACGGCGCCCGCGCACTGGCGCTGGTACCGACGACATGGGCCGACTGAGGCGATGTTGGTGTCGGCTTGTCCTCCTTGCCACCCTTGCGTCCCCCGTCGACTACCCTCTATCCTTCGGTTCCTACTCTCTCTCCTTTTCTGTCGCTCCGCTCGACGAACTTTCGCCCTTATCAGCTGATATTAAAAGCCCCATTTTACGTACAACTTTGTAAATTTAATCTTTACTTTAATGCGGTCTGTCTGTCTCTCTCTCTCTCTCTTACTTTCCCTTCCAGTTCTTTCTCATTAAACTTTTGTTCTCATCTCGTGAATTCTGACGTCAATCTTTTCATCAATCCTTCTATTTTATCCCATCATCTCCGTTTCAAGAATTCTTTCCTCCTCCGCACACGTTAACTTCCATTATCTTCTTCTACCGTTCTTTTTCACCATATAGATAGGTACGCAACGCTTCCAAGGCGATTTTTTTGTCAATTAGTTACGTTTATAAAACCCTCCGTATCTGATTTGTTATTCTCATGTGATATATACATGTGTCAAAATTTTTACTTGTTTTTATGAAACAATATTCATAATCTAATAAAAAATGTTAATTAACTTTTTAGTATCGTTTAAATCTATTTAATTTAAATTAAGTCTCTAAAATTTATAAAATTAGCTAAAGATTAGCTTCTACAAAAGTAAGATTTACAAAAAATTCTTTCTCGCTGAATTATACTTACGGCATAATTCTCTCAAACAATGTAAATATAAAAACGGAACTTATTAAATTATTATATGACATCTTTTATATAAAATTATTATTGCGGCGTTAGCTCGCTAATAAATTCTCAATGTCGTAATAAAAGATACATGTAAGGATGCAAAATTCAAAACTTTCAAGTGTACAAAGATTAATTTCAAGTATAATTGGGTAGTTAAATTGCAGTGAACAGAATTTGTGTTCAATTGAACACTTCAAGTGTAAAATTATTTAAATCGTATCCACTTTCCTTTTTTTTTTACTTGAGTAGTTAAAACATACATTCGATACTGCTCATCAGAATTATATAGAGATTGTGCGGTCAAGCATGAAGCATTAATGTAAAAGTCAATTCTCACCTCGGGTGGAAGGATGATTCATTAATATTGCCAAAGGACACTCGTCGTCGTCTAATATGTACTCCTGATGTACATTGCCACCCACGTTCTCGCTATTGACCTACATCAAACAAGACAGTGATATGTACATATATGCTTTTAACGAAAATTATTTCATGTTCATGCGTAATTACAATTCTCAGAAATTGGGAGATTATTAAATACCGAGTACAAAAATGTATCATACTATACAAAAAATGTGTTTGTCTACAATAGTATTTACGGCTATCTAACAGAACCATGTTTTACATTTTCTGTGTTCCTTCGACTTTCATATGATATGACGGAGAAAGGTTTTCTTATCAAATATGCTTTGTTTAAATCAAATTAAGATATCTATATGATTATTATGTCACAAATTCCAGATGTTTATTAATTTTATAGTTAATATGCTTATTAGTAACTACCTTGCATTTGTTTCTTTTTTTATTAGCTTCATTCACTTTATATGTATAGTACTATTTCTTTAATAATAATTAAATTGTTTTATAATTCTTTCAATCAATTATTTTATATATCATATGTATGTTATACATATTATTTTATACAAATTTTTATATTTTATTGTATTTGCCTTCATTGTTTAAATCGTTGATAAATTGAGAAACTTCTTGCAAAATTTAGATTGGTATTCTTTAACAATAAATTCAACAATAAATATCTTAACGATTAAGTTTAATTTAACATAAATTATTAAATTCCAAATTGTGCTATCTTTCAGATGAAATCGAGACACACCAAAGAAATAAATTTTGAAAATCTGTCAAATTCATTTGCCATATATAATGATATTCTATCCGCGGATAAACGACGGCCTCGTATATACCTGCACAAGGCAATATAACTGCGGGTCCACTTTTTCCAGGCCGTATTTAGAAAGCATCTCTCGCACAACCTGAGCGGCGGAATCTCGTACGCTTAGCAGCAGCGTTTTGTATGGCACGTCCTTGCACAACGCCTCGCCATAAATTTTCAATGTGCCGCCCGTGTCGGGACCGCCGTCTTTACTGCGAAATTGCTGGAGCCTCCTCTCAAGCTTCTGTTGGCGTCGGCGTCTCATCACCGCTTCCGGATTCGAGATGCTCCTCGTAAAACTGGTCTCGGGCAATTCTAAAAACGATAATAACATCATTAATACAGAAAAGAAAAAGCACGCGAGTTACAATAAGAAGGTATCCTAATTTGTTGTTTTTTTTGCTATTACTTTCATTACAACATGATAATCGATAATCGAACCAAGATAATTGAATTATTGTGCCTGGCTAAAAATAAATTATTTTTAGATCTCGCGTTAACTTTAGAAAGAAAAGAATACAAAATACTGAAATTAACTACAGAGTGTGATATAGTATCCCTTATCAATCCCTTTTTAAAACACTTTTCAATCAAAATATTTTTCAAAAATTACATTCATATTTGTATTTATTGTCATTTATATTCGCGCGTTATTTAAACCTTTGACAATTTTATACAAACAGCCCAAAAATAATGTTTACTAACCCGTATAAAGCTTCTCGGCGACACCGTTCTGATCGCCAGGCACCGCGTTCTCCTCCTGCTCCAAGCTCTTCAGTCGACTGAGCTTCTCCTGCTTCTTGATCTGCTTTTTCTCCCGCTTGCTCAGCTTTCTTTGGAAGCCAGTGCCCTCGACGGAACTAAAACCGACGCCCTGCGCATTCGTCTTATCGTCGATCCTTTTCAGCAAGAAGCGTCCCTCCCGATCGTCTATATGCCAATTTAGCTGAACTAGCAATGGCTTCTCTTCTAAATCAAGCTTACGCTCTTCTGTAACAAACCACACGCGGTATTAAGATACTTAGGAAAAAAATAACATTATTAAGAAGATAATCGAGATTCTCTCCAGCTCGGAACAAAATAGCTGTTAATTTTAATGTAATTAAATGTTTTCAGGATAATTCAGTTAGCAGAAACTCTCGCGGTATGTTACAAGTACATTAAATTTTATTAATTAAGAGTAAAAAAAAGACACAATCTCCCTTGGCCGACGTGTACATAAGTTAGTCTAAAAATATGTAACTCTGTTTTTATTTTAATTACACAAAAGGCAATTTTCATTTCAATCGCATTTTGGTCTCTGCGCAATCGCGATGATTTATAATTCACCTCCATTCTCGTGAATCTCGTAAAGAGCGTATTCCGGGACGGACAGCATTCTCATGTCGGGACGAAATTTTTCTATGAGAGTTTCTATCACCGCCTGGCTGGTCGCGTCCGAGGCGACCCTGATGCACTTGGTAGCGACCTTCTGGCCGCTGTCTTGGAAATAAAACCTCATCACGCCGTGAAACTCCAGGTCCTGCTCGAGAAGAAGAACAACATAAGCTCGAATAAGCTAATAAGCGGGAACCGAAACGGCCCCGCGAAATTTTAGACGCGTCATCGTCAACGCGACACTCACCTCGTTGGGCTCCGAAAGTTCGAACAGGTCCAAGCGATTGGCGTTCCATTGCTGTATGACCCCCCTAAGAGCCTCTCGCTCAGCCTTTTTATTCGCCAGTTCCGTTGCCATCCTGAAAAACACGACGGACGACGTGTAATTGCGAACAACGGACACAGTTGCGGAAACTGCAACGCGACCAGCATTTGCTGAACGCGATTTCTTAGAAGACGCAGCAGCCGCGTAATCGCAAACTCGGCTTTTTAATTGAACAAATCGAAACGCTTAAAAGAGTCGAGGATACACGATTGTACAATGCACAATTTGTCAACTTGCACAAATTTTTTAAACGTATCTATTAGCTGTAAAATAGTATGTTCCTAGACGCAAAGAGCGCATTGTAGATCGGGCTTTAATCGTACACGTTCTCGTCTAGATTAGAGTCCCTCGGAGACCTTTAAGCCTGATCTGCAATGTGCTCTTTGCGCCAAGGAACGTTCTATTTTATATAAATAAATCAAAACGCTTAAAAAACTTGCAACAATATACGATTGTATAATATTATACAATGTGTAACATACAATTTATCAACTTGCACAAATTTTTTAAGCGTACTTGTCGGCTACAAAATAGAATGTTTCTAGACGCAAAGAGCACGTTGTGGATTAGACTTCAAGCCCGATTTACAATGTGCTCTTTGCGCCTGGAAGCATTCTATTTTATATAATGCGAATTAAAACGCTTAAAAAATGTCTCGACAACATACAATCGTGCAACGTACAATTTTTCAACTTGCACAAATTTTTTGGCTACAAAATAGAACAGTTTCTAGACGCAAAGCGCACATCGTAGGCTTTATCCGGCACGGGACTGCTGGCACCGCGCTGTTGTTGATACCTCGAGATAAATTATCGCGGCAGACGTAAAGCACGAGGCGTCTGTTCGGTGCGCCAACCCGCCCCGGGATATCGCGTTCGACGTGTTATGGTTCTCGCCGTGCGGCACACAAGTGCCCGGTGCGTGCGACGCGCTCAGAAACGATACCCCTTCCCGAACGCAAAGTGCACGGAGGACGGAGAGGTAGTTGACGAATTCGATCGCCCCCGATTATTCAACGCGAAGATTAATCATCCGGTGAGAGTCAGCTGATTCAAATCGCTAACTAAATTATCCTCGCTCAATCGACTTTCGGTTTTACTCGGATTAATCGTCGAGCAACTTCAGCTGGTTTAAGGCTGAAGTTCTCGTCACAGTTGGCAGGGGGGCGACGCTAATCGACTCGAATCTCGGTTAACCGGGAGACTCGCACTACCGTGCGCCTCGCAGTTT